GGGATCTGGGGCTCACCGAGGGGCTGGGTCCCTAAGAGCCCCTCTCCCCCAAACACTGCTAACCCTCACCCTTTGATCTCACGTAGGGGTGATCAGGGACGTGTCTTACCTGAGCCTTCTGCCCAGACCCAGGGCCCAGCCCCGCTGTGGGGCCCCACCAGCCCTCGCCGGGGTACCCTGTGGCTTCCTGAAACAGCTTAGTAGCGGCGGGTCCAATTAGCGCTTCCTCCCACCTTCCACAGTGTGGACGGTGGCACGCCTTCCATCCCGTCACAGAGTGTGTGCATGCAGGCAGTGTAGACAACACTCAGAGGTGGAAGGGGCTCACTCTGCAGAAGGGTTCAGGGGCAGAGGCGGGAGGCGGCTTCTCCCCAGCGAGCTCCCCCAGGGCAGGGGCGTCTCTGGTTGTCGCAGCCCGTCCCCTCAGGTGCAGCAGGAGCGGGACGAGCTGTACAGGAAGTTCACGGCGGCCATCCTGGAGGTGCAGCAGAAGGTGGGCTTCAAGAACCTGGTTCTGGAGCGGAAGATGCAGGCGCTGAGTGCTGCTGTGGAGAAGAAGGAGGCCCAGTTCAATGAGGTGCTGGCAGCCTCCAACCTGGACCCCGCGGCGCTGACCCTTGTGTCCCGCAAACTGGAGGTGCGTCCCAGCCCGCAGCATCCATTCCGGTCCCCCAGCTGGCATCCGGGGCTCAGGCTGGGGTTGCGTGTTGGATGCGTGCGTGTGTCTGGCCTCTGTCTCTCCAGTGGGGACCTGCTGTGGGCGTTGGGGAGGGACCATTATGGGTTTCCTGTGGCTGGGGCACCGACAGGGCCTGCAGACGTCTGTCCCCAGGCCCCCCGGGCTCTTGCTTCATGCTTCCCCAGTGTCCTCCTCAGCCTCTTGGCCCCTTCTGGCCCTGGGCCCACGGCCGTCCATGCTCACAATAGGTTTAGCTCAGCCTGGCCAGCATCTCAAGCTGCTCTCAAAATTCGGGGCTTGTGATTCTCAGGCGTCCGGTGACAAGCCTAGAGACAGGCCTGGGGCACAGCTGAACCTATGAGCTCTTAGCCGAGGCCACCGCCACAGTCTGCCCTGGACGCAACGATGGCGTGCTTGATGTGGGCTGTGGGCAGTTGGGACGGGGACATACAGGGCTACGTGGTGGGGGCTGGGGCAGGCTTCCCAGAGGGAGTTAAGGTCTGAGCAAAGCCTAGAGTGTTTGGTCGTGAGTTCGTGGTTCTTTGTGGTGGTCCCCTCTGCGTGGGCTGTCTTGGGCACAGGGGGGAGCATTCAACAAGACAGATGAAGCCTGGGCCTCACTAGGATGTGTCACAGAAAGAACAGGCGAGGCCAGAAAGGGGTCTCTTGCTGCCGGGAAGTGTGGTTGTGCTGGGATCCTGGCCACCTGGGTGACCCGCAGCCCTCAGGCCCGAGGCAGCCCCAGGTGCAGTGTCCCTGCGGGTCTGCACGTCTCCATGGAGAGGCCCAGGGAGGGGCGGCCAGCTTGTCCCAGACACAGCACCTTCCAGGCTGCTTTTCCTTTGTGGAGAAACAGACCCGAGTCTGGGGATCACAGAGGCTTCACTGTGCAGGCGTATTTCATCCTGGGAAGCACACAGCAGTGTTTGTCAGGTGGTTAGTCAATGTGCAGTAATGCCGTCTGCTCGCTCGACACCCAGGCCCAGAGGGTTAACTGTTGGGTCACCTCATCTTTCCATAAAGCCCTTTATGGGGGCCTGGTTCACTCACTTGATCACGTGTCTGTCTGATTCTTGGTTTGACTCAGGGCCTGATCCCATGGGTTGTGGGTTTGAGCCCTGAGTCAGGCTCCACGTGGAGTCTGCTTGAGATTCTGTCTGTCCCTCGCCCTCTGCACCCCCCTTTTTCTCTCTCTCTCAAATAAATCGATCTTTAAAAAAAAAAAAAGCCCAAATACTGCAGGCTGGCTTCCTGCCCACCTGGCCTTGACCTGAGGCTCTCAGCTCCCACCAGGTGCTGTTGTACACGTGTGAGCCCCTTGCTGCTTGGGTGTTGAGGGGAGTGCAAAGCTGAGGGGAGGAGGGCAGAGCCAGCTGGACAGACGCGGTTCTGAAGTGTGTTGGGTGTGCATGAGTTTGAGGCTGGTAAAGAGTCATGGAAGGTTCTGGGTGTGGTGGGCTGCATCACACAGAGCCCCCTGGGAAGGCAGGTGGGATGGAGGATTTGTCCTTCCCGGACATGTTGCTGATGACATTGTCGCCGATGGAGGACAGCTGGGCAGGCTGCGGAGACGTGGTGTCCATTTCCGGCTGAGACCAGATACTGTTCCAGGCAGCGACGTGTCCCGGCTTGGTGGGCGGCAGGGCCTGTGGGGTTGGAGCCACTTGGAACAGGGTCTTGGGGCCTGGGGTGGTGCTGCCCCATAGGAGGGGCATAGTGCGGGCTGGCAGCACCGGGCACTGGAGCCCGGGGGCCCGTCTCACTCCTTGTCCCGACTTGTGAACACCGCCAGGCAGAGAGCGAGGGCGCTTTTGGAAACGGAAGAGCTTTCCTGCCTCTGCTGTTGGGAAGGGCAGCTGGTCCTGGGGCTGGGTAAGGCTTTGCAGCCAGCAGTCCTGATGGAGGGGATCAAATCAACCCCTTCGACAGTGGTCACTGCAGCTGTGACCACGGGCCAGGGCCTTTTCTTGTCTGTTCCCTGGCTTGCCCAGAGGAACCCTCCCAGGAGGCAGGTGGCGGTTCAAGGGCCCTTCCCTGGGCCTTGGTTGGCCTGGCTTCTATGCCTCTTGTCCTCACTTCCCACCATCTAGACGGTTTCCTTACAGAGAGCCGGGTCCTGTTTTCCCTTTCTCCTTCGAAGACCTTTCCACACTGGCTGGCTGCTGCCTGTGTGGATGTCCACACTGATGGACCCCGGCGCCCATTCCCTGCATGTCAGATCTCCTGCTGGGGCCCCAAGACCCCCACCAACCTCTGTCTGCCTCAGCCCAGAGATAGGCTCAAACTCAGTTCTACCCTTCTCTCCTTAGGACGTTCTAGAATCAAAGAACAGCACCATCAAGGACTTGCAGTATGAGCTGGCCCGGGTCTGCAAGGTACCAGGAGCCCCCTGCCCCTCTCTCAGGGCCCCACCTTGTCTACACCTTGGAGGTACACATAGCCTGAGGCTGTCTGGGCCTTCTCAGGTCACTCAGTGTGTGGCCTGGGCTGCATCCCCACAACTCTAGCCACTGTCCTGGTGTCCCTTCCGGGGCCTGCTCAGTGGATATCTGGTAAGTGAAGGCAGTTTGTCCAGCACACTCTGTCCCTGTCTCTCATGTGACCCTTGCTCTTGGTGACCTGGGCTCTGGGGCGATTGGATGGGCTTCCTTCATGGAGGGGACAGCTACGAGTCCAAACTTTTCTCGCTTCTTGTAAGTCTGATGAAAGCTGCACACCCCATCCACACCAAACCCACACATGAGCATGGAGGCCTCCTACTGGGGAGGGGCAGTGAGGGCCCTGAGAACTCGAGAGGCCTGGGCCCTCTCCCTGGAGGTCCTGCCTCCGTGGCGGAGGCCACAGCCTTGTCTGGGCTTTGCCTGTGGGGAATGCAGATACAGTGCTGCCTATGGACACACTCCCCCTGAGAAGCCACCCCATACGTGTGACTCACATAAGCCTGTAAATGTGCAGGGTGGGGCCGGCTTCCTGGTTCTGTGCGCCCTCGGGTGTGGAAGCCCAGGAGGGAGGCAGGGCCTGCCACTGGCGCTGGGCTCCATGGTGACCCGATCTCCCTGGGCCTCTCCTCGGCCCTGCCCCTCTGGGCCCTTCCTTTAGCTGCTGCGGCAACCGTGGTATTTACACACACAAAATTAGGGCCATTTACTGTGTGCAGTTCTTGGGGAATGTCTGTCCCCCAGAGAAGGGCGAGAGCCAGGGCCCAGCCCCCAAGTTCTCTCTGGAGCTTGGCCGTAGTTCACCCTTGCAATCGCAGCTCCAAGCTCCAGCACTGTTCCCTTGATGATGGTGAGGATAATGAGCCCTTTTGAGTTTTAATCTGAGTCAGGCCTGGATCTAAGCATTTCACACGCATCAGCTCTTCAAACCCTCACGACCATCCGATGCAATCCACCCTTCAAAAAATAGCCATTTTCCAGAGAGGGGAATAGGAACCTGGCTTCACATTGGCCCCACCAGCACTCTCTGCCCAGATCTTAGCCTTCCTGGGATGGGGGGCAGGAGACAGCGTCAGACAAAGCAGGGAGGCTCTGTGAGGTTGAGCACATGCACGTGGAAGGTCATGTCTGGGAAGGCAAGGATGACCAGTTTGATTGGGAAATGCCTGATGCAGAACCAGGAGTGTGCTCAGGAGCACAGTTCTGCTGAGTCTGTGTCTTCTGCCTCAGTTTCCCCATCTTTGAAATAGGAACAATGGCAGCATTTCCCGTTGTGAATTACTTGAATTCATGTACATAAAAGTGCTCATGACCAGGTATGGCCTACCGTGAGCTGCCGTAAAGGCTCGCTGTGCGGGTTTCCACTGCCAGCCTCCTGTGGCCTCCAGAGCCGTGGGGGCCTGGGTTGGAGTCTGCCTTGGTGTCAGCCTGCCCCTCCTGACGCGGCTCTCACCCTGCAGGCCCACAACGACCTGCTGCGCACCTACGAGGCGAAGCTCCTGGCCTTTGGGATCCCTCTGGACAACGTGGGCTTCAAGCCTCTGGAGACAGCTGTGATGGGGCAGACGCTGGGCCAGGGCCCCGCAGGACTCGTGGGCACCCCAACTTAGCGCCTGCCCGGGACTGCTCCCCAGATGACCTGCTCTTTCACCAAGGACAGGGGCTGTTGGTTGTTTTAGATTTGTATCGTCTGCCAGTGAAGGTTTTCTACATTTGCTCTGTGTCCCGCTGCCTTTCTGTGTGGAGGAGAGGCACCTCCCGGGCCCATGGTACCCTGACCACCCCCTTCCTTGCTGCCCGTCCATCTGTGCTTACCCTGCCCTCCTCCCCACCTCGGGGCCCGGGCAGCACTCATAGAGCCCAGGAACTGCCGTGGCCTTAGCCATGCTGGTGCTGACTTTATTGAGCCTGAGACTCAGCTGCTACTGGAGAGGGCGGGTCAGACTCCCCTCAGGGAGCATAACTGCTGCCCTCTCTTGGAGTGCCTCAGGGAGCTGTTGGGATGGCATCGATGCTCACAGGCCAGCAGCTGGCCAGAGGCGATGGCTCGGCTGCTAGCTCCCCCGATATGTGGTGTAGGACCATGGACTCAGCAGCAGGGGCACGTGGAATCTGTGGGTCTCGTTGGTGATGCTGAAAACCACCTGAGAAGCAGAGAAGGCACCGGAAGAGAGTGAGGGGTCTGTATGCAGCACACAGGTAGCCCGGACCATGGGCTGGAGCCCCAGGAGCCAGCTGGAGCTCATGGAGAGTGGAAACCTGGCCGGGGCTGCGATGGGGCTGAATCCTCTTCAGGGAGAGCCATCGGCTCTCGGAACCCAAAGGATCTACCTTGAACAGTGTCAGCTGAGCGCCTCTGTCCTCAGGGGCTGAGTCACTTCTGGCCCTGTGCCCCACAGCCTTACCCGGGGACAGGGCAGGGACGGGTGTGTTGTGGTAAAGGCCCTGGATATCTTTCTTCTGGGAGCTCAAAGCAGGTGAACTCACTGTCACACCCTAACCCTAGGAGAGGTGGGAGGGGTGGGAGCAGCCTGCCCCTGGCAGGAAGCCAGGGATCACGGGCCTCCACGCCGGGCGCTCACCTCCACGTATGGGTAGAAGCTCTCCTGGCCCCTCTCCTTCCAATAGCCCTCGGTGTCAAAGGACAGCTTGTAGGTGCCCGTTTTCATCGGGCCTGGTGGCAGGAGCCCCGGGCAGCGGCCATCCGAGTTGGTGTAGCTGGGGAGAATGGAGGGAGGGATTGGGGAGGAGTCGCCCCTGCCTCGTTCTCTAGGGTCTGCATGGCCAGTGGCCTCGGACACCCCCAGAGCAGGACACAGTCCGGGGCTCGGGGCTCTGGAGCAGCTCAGGGACACTGCACTGTCTTTTTAGATAGAACTTCAATACAGAGAAGCAGAAAAGTAAAAAAACAAACCAAACCTATTTTATAAGCAACAATCCCTTTATATTGGCATGTATTTTTTCCAGAATTTCTCTACACATAACTATGCTTATTTGTAAACTTGCAAAAATACCCTAGAATGGATTGTATTATACATACTGTTTGATAACTTGTACTTGTCATTTAATACAGTGTGTGCGGGTTTTCTGGACCAGTAACTACACCCACACCCCAGCCGCATGGTGGCCTGTTTGTACTGCACAGAGTGTCCAGTGGAGGGCTCTGAGGGCCTGTCGCTCTGCTTACTGATTTATGTGCCCCCCCCCACCATCACCTCTGGAGAGCTCTGGCACCGTTCCCACCAGCTGTGATTTCAAGTTTCTGTCCTGTACCACAGTTTATTTGGAGGTTGGGAATGGGTCTCTGTGACTCCCCAGGGGACTCCATGGATTCTTTAAGGACCTGAGCGGGCCACTCAGATGGGACCTGGACGCCCAGTGTCGGTGAAGGGCCGGGGATGAGCTGCATGCCCTCAGGCTCTGACCCTCTGGGGCCCAGCCACCCACTCCCACCAGCAGTGGGAGCCTGCCTCCTTCAAGAGGCTCACAGGGGCAGTCCCAGCGTGACCAGGCCGCGCCTGGGCTGGGCCCGTCCCCGCAGAACCTGAGCCTTGGGCTGGGGCCCAGGGCTGCCAGGCGAGGCATGGGATGCCAGTGTTTACTTGCCTCTTGCTGCCTCAGTTTCCCCATCTATAAAAGGGGTAGTTATAGGGCCTGCCCTTGGGCTGGAGTGAGAATAAGAAGAGAGGTAAAGGGCCCAGCGTGTGGCCTGGCACAAGGTTACCTGTTAACCACGGTGACAATGAGGCCCTTAGGTTACACCTTGGGCCTGAGCCAGCCCTGCCCTCAGGGAGAGGCGCTGGGGGTGTGAGGCCAAGGGGGACCATAGCCCAGTGGTCAGCAACACCATCTGACCTCAGTGCCCACACTCACTGGCTGGCTGCGTTCTTCTTGCCCCCTGGCTGGACTCAGGTCCTGCCCAGACCTCAAGCCTACCTTTTCCTCAGGTCGGTCCAGTGCTGGCCCTGGTCCTCAAGCCTGGACAGACAGAGGCAGAGGCCCTGGGCCGGAAGCCCTGAGGTGGTGTCCAGTACATGTGTGGTCAGTGGGCTGCTGCTCGGCTCCATACCTCTGCCCTGTGCCGCGAGAGAGGGACAGGAGTAAGCACGTATGCTCCAGCCTTGTGTCCACAGTGGCCTGGAGACGGCAGGCCTAGAGTCAACAGCCGGCTGCTGGACCCTGGAGGTGGGGGGCGGGCGGTGCCCAGGAGTTGCTGAGTCAGCCGCGGAAGGCTGTGCGGCTGACACACTGGAAAACAGTTGATAAACAAGGCCGGCCAGCCCCTCACCGCCCCACACTAACACCTACTGGGGCCCCCTCCCCTCCACCCAGGCAATGAAGGGCGTCTCTGCACAGAGGGCCCCCTTCCAGCGGGTCCCAGCAGTGGGGGGCCAGCCCCGGGGTGCTCGTTCTCCCGGGGTCCAGCTCTCTGTCCGCCCCCCGCTCCAGGGTCACCCGGGACCTTAGCCCCCGGCCGCTGTTGACGAGCCAGGAGCCCCGCGTCCGGGCCTGCCCCCTACCTCCGAGGAGCCCAGGTGTCGCTGGAGCGCCCGCAGTCTCGGAGCGGCCCGCATCCGTCCCCCCACCCTGAGCGGGAGCTGGTCCCGGGGCGCAGACACCTCCCCGCGCCCGCCCTTGGCCGGCGCCTGGCCCCTCCCAGGGCCGAAGAGCCACGTGTCCGACCAGACCCAGTTTGGGGGGCGCGTCCCTCTGGCGGGGAGGGCGGCTCCACCTCAGGGTCCTCCTGCGGTGTCTCAAGGGCTTCGCGGCATGGCTGGGGGTGGGGGCGACAGGGGCGCACACACCTGCGGGGGGCGCGGAGGCTCCTCCCAGGGCCGGAAGTGGAGTGGGGGGCACCTGCGGGGGGGGGGGCTTGGGGCGGGGCTGGGGCGGGGCTGGGCGGTCCGTGGGGGGCGGGGTCGGTCGGGGCCCCGGGCGCAGGGGCCGCGGGCGCAGGGCCGGGAGGTCGCCTGCGCGCGGGAGCCCGACTGCCCACCACGACTCCCAGTGCTACGTTTTGTGTTTTGTTTGTTCCTCCCCTTCCCCGGGGCAGTTACGGTTTCCACGGAAGCCCCGCAGAGGGCCGGGTGGGCTTTGCCGGGCTGGCTGCCCCGAGAGACCACGCGGTGGTGCCTCGGTGTCCTCTCCTCCCAGGCTGAGATGCGGGTCCGCGCTCTCCCCCAGCCCAGGGAGGCTCTGCACGCCGCCGGGTTCGGGCCTGGGCTACGGCGTCGGGAGGACAGGGGCAGCCGAGCACCCAGAGTACATGTGGGACGTCTTAGGTAAGGTAAGTGGTGAAGGGCAGCTGTTACGCCTAAACTCTGGGAAGGTCGGCACCACCGTCTTGGTCGGCCGGTTAAGCTGCTCCGGGGATGGGAGCTGTTTTCTTCCTGTCCAAGTGCCTTTTCTGACTCCTGGGTGGTGAGCAGGGACCACGTGGAGGTCACGCCACAGACCCCTCCAAGGCAGGGAAGGGGACCCTCGGAGCAAAGGTGGAAGTGTGCAGGCCTCGCCTACTCTGGAGGTGATTAAGAAACACCTATCTGAGATTTACAGGCAAGTGATGTGTGGGTGGGATTACGTTTATAGGAGAGAACTGGGAACAGACGCTCATCCCTGTTTTTGCAAACACCCATGGGTACAGGAGACAAGAAACAACCAGACTGTCTGCCCTGGGGACAGTTAAGTCAATGAGCCCTTGTCAAGGACCAGCATGTCCTGCAGTCCACGAAAAAGACTGAGGCCCATCTGTGTGTAAAGCGAACAGTGTCCTGGGGTGGCGAGGAGGCGGAGACGAGTGTGGCGGCCTGGGTGTCCACAGTGTGACCCTGTGTGTGCTCAGCTTCTACTACATTACAAAGGTTTGCTCCCTTATTCCTCACGACAGCTTCATGACGTCACTGGTGTTATCCCCATTTTCTAGAGGGGGCACAGGGAAGCTCTGTGTTAGGGTATTTTCTAGAATGATGCACAGAAGACTACACTAGTGACCGCCTCTGGGATGAGCACTTGTGGACGGGCTTAGCTCTTGCCCCTGTAACTCCCTTTCTAGAGACATGATAGTCTCCGGCCCAGGAGAGAACTCAGTGGTTGGGAGAGAGGGTGGGAGAGCTGGGAATTGTCACAATTCCTTCCAGGGCCTCTCTGGGGCCTACCTCCCAATCCCGTACCCACCAGACAGAACGGCAGTGTTTCGGGTCCCTGCCCCTTTCACAGGAGACTTGAGACCGTCAGCCCTCTCTGAGGACCAGGAATATCGCCAGGACATTGTAGACTCTGGACACTTCTCTAATGAGAAGATGGCAAGGTTTCTTTTGGCAGCTATAGGCAAATTAGAATAAAGAGCTTCTTCTTCAAGACCCTTACCTACTAGAAGGTTATCACAAGAAGTATTTAAATAGCCCATCTTTGGAGTCAAAACAAAATTACAGTAAAATATGAAAACACTTAAAAATGATAAAAACATTTGCAGTGTGAGTGTTAACACCTCGAGTCAGTGCCCCATGTTTCAGTGAAAGGTCCTGGTGCTCTGGAGTCACAGCTGGGAGCTCTGGTCCCCTCTGGCAGGAGGAAAGGCAGTGCGAGTCTGCTGTTGGGCCATCTGGGTCCGAGAAAGTGAGGAGAAGCGTCCCGGTGCCCGTGTCAGGAGGTTGCCCTGTGGAAGGAGCGAGATGGAAGAGGTCAGACCCCACAAATGTGCGAGCTGCCGTGTTTCCTCCAGCTTAGATGCTGTCTCATGAGGTCAGTGTCCCTCCGGTGCCCCTCCCCATGGACCGCTCACGGCTCGCTGAGCCGCCCGGGAAGGAGTCTGCTTCATCTTACCATTTACCTCTAATCCAACTGCAAACACAGCTTCTCCACTGAACGCCCAGTCCTCCCTGGGTCCTCAGGCCTGGGTCTGGTCAGGCACCGTCTGCCAGGGGCTGGTGGTCCCAGGTAAGGTCATCTGAGCACGGTGTTCTGAGAGTGTGTGTGAGTGTGCCAGTGCGTGTGAGTGTGTGTGACTGAGTGTGCGTGTGTGCGCCTGTGTGCTCTGTGTGAATGTGAGCGTCGCCTGTGGGCATGGAAATGGATATCTGTCCAAGGGGCGAGCGTGTGACACAGCTCCATATGTGTGCTTTGTCCCCTAGGGTGTCTGGGGGCAGACTTGCTCCTCTCCTCCCTGTGCTGATGGTGCTGTGGCCCCCAGTGCCCTTCACCGTGGTGGAGCGACCAGGCTGGACCCCTGGAGTGATTCCGCTCGGAGGCCCAGACAGCCTTGCTCAAGTCCTTTCTTGCCCCCTGGGATGCTGGTTGGATCATTTCGTGTCCTAAAGTCTGTGTTTTCATGGATGAAACAGGTGAGACAATATGGTGGGTCCTCTTGAGTTTCTGGTGGACATGAGTCGAGACGATGTACACACAGCTTAGCCCCAACGTGGAGCTTAGCATGGATCAGAGTGTTTGTGTGATGGAGGGAAACCTTCAGGCCCTTACCATCATCCACAGCTATGACAATGGCCGAAAATGTGTGGTTCTCCATGTCATCGTTGTGCAGACTGGCTCGAGTGGAAATGACGCCTGTTTCTGAGTTGATGTCCAGCCAACGGCTTGGGCTGTCCCACATCTGGTACCTGAAATGCATAAACCCCCATTCCTAGAGGGCTGGGACCACGTGTCCCTCAACCACCCTTCCGATCAGGTGCTGAGAAATTTAAGTCTTCCTCTGGCTTGTTCTCCAGAGATGTGGCTGAATTTCAGCCCTGGGTGCCTTGAGCAGCCCTGAGCGAGGGCAGCAGGCCATGTTGCACCCATGGTCCTACCTGATTCTCTGACCCTGGAGGCTGTCTGGGTCCTGGGCCCTGTATGATGTGATTTCCTGGCCCGCAACCACATCCTTGGGCACTTCCACCGTCTTTATTGGGGGCACAAAGACAGGGGCCTCATTCATGTCCAGCACGTCCACAGTGACGGTCGCTGTGGCTGTGGGGAGAGACGGTGCAAAGGGCACGGTGTTCGCCACTGTCACGTAGAGGATGTATCGCTGTGTGGCCTCAAAATCCAAGCCCTGAGGAACACAGCAGAGGGGTATCAGGTTCTGGGGACTTGGCTGGCCTGCGAGAGAGCACAGGCCCTGGCCTGTGCCCCTGGCCTGTCCCAAGGGCAGGTCACCGCCTGGGATGGCAGGACAGGAGTGGCCATGGTCGAGAGCCCTCCACGCTGAGCCGGCTCACAGGGACTTCACACTTAGCAGAGCCATGGAGAGGCAGACTCTGGTTAAGATCTCGGCTTTGCCGTTGGTGGCACAGCCCAAGCAGGTGACCTTGCTTCTCCATGCCTCAGTTTGCCCACCATCAAACGTCTGTGATTGCAGCAACTTCCCTGCTGGAGCTGGTGTGAAAATTGAGTGTGAGGACAGAAATGGCCTGCGGCACTTACCGAGACCTTGTGGTTGCTGTTTTATTATCCTCAGACTTGTGAGAGGCTAGTGGGCCCTGAGCAGCATTCTCCGAGGGCATCCCCAGGTGGCTGGGCCAGGGGTCAGCTGGAACCGGACCCCTCTGATGGAGGCCCTGGTCCCAGCCAGGCATGTGGTTATCCCCAGGGGTCCCCTCGCTCCCCGGCACCAGGTAAGATGCAGATTGGTATGTAAATGTCCTGGGATGTGCCCATGGTGGAATTCTTGGATTTTAGCCTTTCTGTCCCCCAGGCCAGTCTAAATGCTGCCTTTGGCCTTCTCCGTGTTTATTCTAAGTGTCCCAGGATTCTGGGGCCAAAAAAGCCCATTTGGAACAAATAGCAGCCAAGTACCTATGCTCCCCACCCCCCGCCTCCTGAGAAAAACCCCTCAGCCCAGCAGAGGTTCCTAAGGTCCTTAAGGTTCCCCTTCCCCCATGACTCCCTCCCTCCCCGCTGTCTTCTCGTTTCTCTCTCTCTGACTGTTCATCTTAGGTTTGCAGATGGTTCCAGGCCCCCCGCCCACTCTGAAGACCGCCTTCACTCTGGGGACCTGGCTTCCTGCCTCCAGGAGCCAACCAGCAGCTTCCAGGCCAAGCGAAGTCTCCACGTGCGTCTCAGATGAGACGATGCCAGGGCATTGCTCAGAAGGACCCGGGGGCCTGAGCCCCTTTGTTTGTGAGACCCCTCTTCTCTCCCCACTGTCCATCCCACCATCCCCCCTCAGCACCCCCAGGGTCCCTCCCACTTTGGGGGGAACCCAAAGGAAGACACATGTCCCAGTTAAGCTCTATGGAATCATCCTCGGTTAGTATTTTTCCGGGAGAAAACAGTTACTTAGGCAGCACTTCTGAGGTAGGTCCGGGGCCATGGTGCGGCCAGGGGGACACAAGGACCAGAGAGGACCACTGGCGCAGCAGGAAGCCCTCCCTGGGCAGCTGCTCTCCTGGATGAAGAGCGTAGTGTGTGCTCCATACCTGTCCCAGAACTACGGGGTCACAGCTGCCCCCTCCTTGGAGCTCACACCCACCTTGGCTGTTTTCAAAAGGCCGTCATTGGTCTTGGGGTCTGTGGTGACAGTGAAGAGGCGGGATCTGTCATTCAGGATGGAGAACACTGCCTTCCATGCAGGGGTGCCCGGGGTGTCTGCGTCCTTCACTTTTAGCCTCACTATCCCGGCGCCCACCTTGTTCTCAAACACCTGGCCCGCGTACTGCAAGGGAAAGACAGAGGCCCTCGTCCCTGGTGTCCCGTGTGGGGCCTTGGGAAACCCACAACCTGGGCCAGCCTCGCTGAGTCCACGGTTCTCCAGCAGGAGGGGCCACAGTGGAGGATCCCCTCTTCAAGCGGCATCTGTTGGCTAGAGCCAAGTGCCAGCAAAGGCCCCGCTTCAGGCTACGGACGTAGGCAACGGGGCTCTGAGAGCTGGGTGTCTGTCTTCACCCTGGAGTCAAGGGGCTGGAAAGCTGACCCCACGACGCCCAGGCTCCGGCAGCTCTGGTCCCAGGTGGGCATCAGCTGAGGGGCATGGGTGCCTGGGGCCAAGGGCAGCCGCCCCGGACTCTGTTCCCAGGGACAGCCACGGTCATGGGGACTAGCAGGAAGTGGGGCCTGGAGTGGCTCCTCCTGCCTGTCCCCTGCCCCTCCCTGTCAGGTCCTTTCTGACTCAGTCTCCAGAGGGAGCAAGTGTCTCTATCATTAAGTCTGGCCTGTGTGACTGTCAGGGGAGCTCCCACTGAGACAGCTGCCAGGCTCCAGCGAGCCTCTGACCCCAGTCCCTCGGGAGCAAGGCCGGCTTCACTGGTCACGACTGTTCAGGTGATGGCAGAATTCCGACAGCAGCCTCTCGTTTCAGCTGCAGGGGATGCAGCCGCGTGACTCTGCCTCGAACAGGACGGGGCTGCAGGTGGCTGATAAGGAAATGTCCCGTGGAGGAAGGGACATGGTGAGTGTGCAGATAAGCCCGGGGAGACTGAGTCCGGCTGCAGAGGGAGAACTGAGGACAGGCAGAAAGTGGGACAGAGAGAGTGAGGGAGAGGGAGTGAGACAAGGTGGCCTGACTCCTAGCGGTTTCCAGACCCTGCTTCCCACCCCTCGTATAGCTCAGCTGCACCCCAAACCCCTCCTGTTTCTTTCTTTTTTTTTTTTTTAAAGATTTTATTTATTCATTTGACAGAGATCACAAGCAGGCAGAGAGGCAGTCAGAGAGAGAGGAGGAAGCAGGCTCCCCGCTGAGCAGATATCCCCATGTGGGACTCGATCCCACGGCCCTGGGATCATGACCTGAGCCAAAGACAGAGGCCTTAACCCACTGAGCCACCCAGGCGCCCCACCCCTCCTGTTTCTTTACGACAAATCCCCTCTATCCTTTACTTATCCAAACATCTGTATCCCCTTTTCCTGAAGAATCCTTGAGTTGGTTCCTGCCCTCTGGGCCTAGGGGCTCTGCATTCTTACCCCATGAGATCTAGGGGGCTCCCAGCCAGAGACAGAGCCCCATCCCGCCTGCGTCATGAACTCCGCCTTCCAGGTCGCTGCTGGCCGAGAGGGCTGCCCTTGGCCCAGGAGAGTGTGACCCGAAGATGGGGAGTGTTGTAAGCTGCCGCCAGGCTACGGTCTGAATCCTGACACTGCTGCTCACACAGTGACAGGTCACGAGGTGTCCGCTGGATCTGCCAGGACTCACCTGAGTGGGGCTGAAGACGGGAGGGCTGCCGTTGCTCTGGGTGACTGTGATCACGGCTGTTGTGGAGCGTAGGCCCTCCCCTTGGAGGTCGGCAGCCTGGACCGTCAGGGTGTAGGCAGGCACGCTCTGCGGACAGGCACGCAGCAGTCAGTCCTGGGGTTCTCGAGGCAGGCTTGGATCCACCCGGTGGCACCTTGGGAGTCAATATGGGACAGCAGAGGCAGCGAACCTGGAGGGCCCTCCCATCCAGGAAGTGACCGGCTTCCAGGTCACTCGAGAGAGACCAAAGTCCCTGCCTTCTCTTTGGCTCCCCACGTACAGAAGCTCACTGTGCGCGAGTCAGACCATTCCCTCCCAAAGCCGACCCAGGAGGAAAGTTTCCTGGAGTGGGATCTGTCAATATAATCCCCAGCACTAGGCATTTATGGGGCTAGTGCTTATGGGGGCATGATGCCAGTACATTTCTATTTTCACCAGAAAATGTGGTCTAGGTTTGTGGGAAACAGAGTCCTTTCATTTCACTGGTTCCAGCAGGCGTCTCGTCGATCACATCTAATTTACCCCAGCGACTGCGCGGGGCGCAAAGCCAGCCTGCCTGCACCAGCCCGTGGACGCCTCTTCTTCTTTCTTTTCTTTTACTTTTTCTTTTTTTAAGATTTTATTTATTTATTTGACAGAGAGTGAGCACAAGCAGGGGAAGTGGCAGAGAGAGAGGGAGAAGGAGGCGCCCCGCTGAGCAGGGAGCCTGATGCGGGACTCGATCCCAGGACCCCTGGATCATGACCTGAGCCGAAGGCAGACGCTTCACCATGGAGCCCCCAGGTGCCCCTGATAAATGCCTCTTCTGATTGGTTGGCTCATGTTCTAATTGGCCAGCCCTCAGTTCCGACTGGCTGGGAACGTGTTCTGGCTGGTGGGCTGGTGTTGGTTCTGACGGGCTGCTGCCCATGGCTTAGTGGCTGGGGCTTATGTACATGTAACTGCTGCCCCAGAGGCCCCCGAGGCCCCCTGACCTGTTGGTCCAGCTCAGTAGTGAGCACAGAGATGACTCCCATGTCCCGGTTGATGGAGAACATGTTGGAGTGAGGCAGCGAGGGGTCCTGGCTGAGGATGGTGTAGGCAATGTCTGCGTTGTCTGTGTTCTCGTGGTCGTCCGCGTCCGTTGCTGTGATTTGCATCACGGATGTTCCTGTGAGGATAGAGGGGAGACGAGTTGGTAACCTCAGCAGGTAACTGTTGTATTGGCCGGGCGATACAAGTTCATATAGAAACCCAAAATTAAATGTGTTCCTTTTTTTTTTTTTTTAAGGATTTTATTTATTTATTTGACAGAGAGAGATCACAAGTAGACGGAGAGGCTGGTGGGGTGGGGGGGAAGCAGGCTCCTCGCTGAGCAGAGAGCCCGATGCGGGGCTCAATCCCAGGACCCCGAGATCATGACCTGAGCTGAAGGCAGCGGCTTAACCCACTGAGCCCCCCGGGCGCCCCAATGTGTTTCTTTTTTAGTCTCTTCACTAAACAGGTGATAAAACTCCTTATCAAGGGATATAAGTTCTAGTTCAAATAATTCACCAAATTATTATAATAAATTCCAGGTGATTTGTTTACCTTTTCCATAAGTCCTTAGGGCATCTTTAAAAATTGTTGTATTTATTATTTTTGTTTTTAAACATTTTTTTTTTTTTACATAACGTCTACACCCAATGTGGGGCTCGACCTCATGACCCCGAGGCCCGAGGGTGAGAACTGCTTTGCTCCATGGGCTGAGGCAGCCCGGCGCTCCAGGGTGTCTTTTGAACAATTTTTGAATGTCATTTAAGTTTTAATTTAAACTCCAGTTGGTTAACATATGGCGTAAGATTAGTTTCAAGTTTACGAGGTAGTGATTCCTCAATCCCTCCCTCACCTGATGCTCATCAGGACACACGCACTCCTTCCTCCGCATCACCGGGTTCCCCAGCCCCCAGCCTCCCTCCCCTCTGGTGACCCTCTGGCTGTTCTCTTGAGTGAAGAGTCTGTTTCCTGGCTTGCCTCTCTTTCGGGTGTCTTCTGACACGGCTGTCATCGTGGGACCCTTGTCCCTCAGGTGCTGCCGTTCTGTCAAGTGCTTGAGGGGAGGGGGAGGGGCTGTTTCCTATCTCATCTTTGCAGCTCTTCCCCGCCTCCCTGTCCTTCCTCCCCAGTCATTGTCAGGGAGTCCCTCCTGTTTGGACACTGGCCTCACGGCCGGAGCTGGAGCCAAGCACACGAGCCAGATGGAGAGAAGCATGAGGGGTGGGCAAAGGTGCATCCTCGTTGCCCGAGCGTGGTCTCCTGCGGTACCCTGCAACACATGTGTACCTCACGTGGGTGATTGCAGGCAGCTGGTGCTGGCAGGTGACTGGGGTTTGTCGGAGGGCAAGGCAGCACCAAGGTAGAAAAGAAAGGGGAAAAGAGGAAGAAAGCTTTAGTGGCAGCTACTGGTGGGCGGGGGGGGGGGGGGGGGGGGGGGGGGGGGGGGGGGGGGGGAGAAGAAAGCATCCGTCACAATGTCCTTTCACGTGAAATACCTGTGACTTTTGGTTTCATTTATCTATAGTCACAGAGAATGAGGACCTCAACATTCCCACAATGTCAGGTTGGAAGCTGTGGGCACAGGGGCTGTCGGCATCGCCTACAGTCATGTCTGGAGGTCTAACTCCTCAGTGGGCAGTAAGAGCCAGCTGGAACCAGAGTGTCCCCTGGATCAAGTCAGGTTCTTGTTTGCAAGATCACAGGTTGGGAAATATGTGGGACAGTCCTCAGGGAGAAGTGGAAACTGACACAGAAAGGGGGTGTAGATGGGACTGTGAGATGAGAACGGCCACACGGTAAGGGGGGCTCTGTCCAGGCAGTAGTTACAGAGATGCCGAACCAGCAAAGGCAGACAGGACATAGAGACAGAAGTGAGGTGACCACTGGGCGTCTCTGGGACTTCTGGGCCCAGAAGGACCTTCTTGCTCTATGGCCCTTGTTGGCCCCTCCTTGTAGGATGCTCTCCGCCTGTAGCCCTCCCCAGGTCCAGCTCTCTTGAGGAAGCCTGAGAACATCTCTGTTGCTCGAACATCACCCCCCGCCCCCCAAAAATGTCTGGGCAGTCCTTGATCTGTCTGTTCAACTCTCCAAGTGGGGCCCTTCCTGCACGGGAACCCGGGGTGCAGGTCGCCGGGAAGGTGCGCTGGGCTGTTGGTACTTTGATTTCCCAGGTTCTTTACATTTTTCCTTTTATTATTGCCGTGCGTCACCAAAACCCTGCATTGTTCCAATTAACCTGGGTAGGCTCCTTCCATCACGGACCCCTCAAAGACCGCCTGGGTGAATTCCGGCCTGTTGTCGTTCTGGTCTCACTGTGATCACAGTTTCCATCGGGTCCTCCACAGCATTCCCAGTCGAAGACACAGCATGAAGGAACAGCTGGAAAGCAATAGAGGTGCAGCAGAGGCATGTGGGAGCCACCCTGGCCAGTGGGCACCTGTCCCCCAGAAGGCCCATTGCCGTGACAGCCCCCTTTCTACCTTCATCTCGCATTTCAGTGCTCACGAGTCTGGGAACGCAGCTCGCACTCCATCCCCGGGGATGCCCCGAAAGGCTGCGTCTGTGTCTCTTGGGGTTTTTCTCCCGGCGATGCTCAGGACACAGTGCCAGCCATCATCCCACCTACCCTCTCCCTTTCCCACCGAAGGTGCCTCAGCTGGGCCTCCCATGCAGCTGGGTGGAACCACGAGGATTTGGCATTTGACTTCTGCCCACCCTCCCTTCCCAGGCACAGAAGGGGGGCCTGCCTGGGAACTTGCTCGGAACGCCAAAGAGGGCAGTGTCCTCGAGAGGAGAGCAACCTGAGGCTTTGTTTGGGTCTCGGTTTCCCTCCGAGGGGTGTGGTAGAGAGTCTTCTGGACCGAAAACCCCAGAGAGCTGTGTTTAAAGGGTGCTCAGCTAACAGGTGCTGAGAACTCACCCAGAACTAGATACCGTTCAAAGGGCTTCACGCATGCTAACCCAACAGCACAGGGAGGCTGAGGGGGGTCACGACCACACCCAGGCTACAACAGAACTCATTCTTCACTTTAAGTCCCTGATTCCTTCCCCTGCTCTGCCTGCCTCCCCACTCTTCACTCTCCTGCACCTGGACTGTACCAGGGGCTCAAATATGGTCTCAGGCGTAACTTCCGAAGTCCACGGGCTGTCTGAAACGCCTAGAGAACAAGAGGCTGCCTTGCCGCCGGCTCCCCGCCCCTGAGGCCACGTAGAGGACACTCACAACATAGTGGGATTCCTGCTCTCTGTCCAGGGGCCCCGTGACCTTGAGCCACCCTGTTTCTCTGTCCATGATGAACACGCCACACGGAGGCTCGTCAGCGCCCCTGCCCGTGATGCTATAGAAAACCTGGATTTCCTTGTTCTTGTTCGATTTGACCTGAAGACAACACAGAAGCAGAAGGGCCAAGAAGGACCCCAGACCAGTGCCAACCCCTCTCCATAGGGAACCCCAGAACAAAACCAGAGCTCTCCCTTTGCACTACCTGAGCCACTGTTTTGGGGTTTGGGCCTCTCATTCTCTGGGATGGAGATGGGAGGGACAACCCAGTCTCTCTTGCCTCCTGGGACCAAAGTGGGCATGAGGGAACGTCAGCACCTTCGTGTGGTGTCCAGAGAGGATACCCTAGAAGGACAGGAGGTGAGGGGCCCTAGAACGGTCCAGTGCAATGAAGCCGGCCCTTGTAAACACCACACTGACCTGCTGGAGGGTCTTGTTGGCGTGCAGACCTTCCAGCATCAGCCCCAGCTTCTGAGGTATCTTGGGCGTCCCCTTACTGGAAGGCGTCCCATGGGCAAAGAGCTGCCAAGCCGATGGGAAGTAGGTTAAGGGCACAGGGGACAGGCTTTGGGACAGGGCCTGTGGACGGCCCAGATGTCAGCATTGTCCTGTTCTTCTCTGCCCCCCCTCCCAGAAAACAAAGGCCTCCACCTCCATCATGGCCTCCAGGGTTTCCCATCACCTTCCTCTCTGGGGGAAGGGTGAGAGGGGGTGCCCTGTGACATCATGGGAAGGGTGAGGTGGCGTGAATGTCTTCTCCCTAAATCCCAGAGACCGGAGAACTTTCTTGAGTCCTGAATGCAGTGTGTGTTTTAATCTATACCAAAGCCGGGCCCCAAAACGGGTCTACAAACACTTTCTGGAAACACCTTTTGTGTCCAGCAGCAGGGAGTTGGTTCAACCACAGCCCAGTCCTGCTCATGATGTAACGGTGAAGACTGCAAGGAAGGTGCTCAAGACACTTCGTCAAGAGAAAGAGGCCTGTGAGAGAGGAAGGGGCTTGGCTGCTTTCCAGGGAAAATGTGCAGCGCCGAAGTGTGCATGGTTGTCTGTGTGCAATGGACGGAAGGCTTTAGTGGGCTGTATTAATGGATGTTCCCCCAGACTAATAGAGTTATCATACTGGGTGCTTTTTATTTTCTGGATTTTCTTAAGTGTTAGAAATATAACAACTGGATATTATCAGAAAAACGCCCCAGGAGAGTTGCCATTAAGTATGAGAGCTTGCGAAGTGAGATATTAAAGTGCGTGTACCAGAATGGTGCAGGATTTTTCTCGGTTTGGAGATTAACAGCCTCTTACATTAAAAAAAATATTGGGGCTCCTGGGTGGCTCAGTGGGTTAAGCCTCTGCCTTCAGCTCAGGTTATGATCTCAGCGTCTTGGGATCGAGCCCCGCATCGGGCTCTCTGCTCAGTGGAGAGCCTGCTTCCCTCTCTCTCTCTGCCTGCCTCTCTGCCTACTTGTGATCTCTCTGTCAAATAAATAAATAAATAAATAAATAAATAAATAAATAAAATCTTTAAAAAAATATTTAAAAAAACTGCCTTTAGTACTTTTTAGTTTTAGTACTTTCAAACTTTGAGCAGTTTGAACTACTGTTTTTGTAAGTGGGCTGCACACCCAGTATAGAGTGCGGGGTGGGGCTTGAACTGCCGACCCTGAGATCAAGACCTGAGCTGAGATCAAGAGTCGGATGCTTAACTGACTGAGCTGCCAGGTGCTCCAAGCAGTCTGGTCTTTGAAGACAGCCCCTGACGGGGACACTCCTTCCTCAGGGTAGTTCTCTACCTTGGTTCAGAGGCTGATTCCGGCAGGGCTCACAGGACCGGGGCCAGACCTGCGGCCGGACAAGGCAGAGTCCCGGGAGCAAATACACATTTATTCCATTTCAGACCGGTTGGCCATCATGTGTTGCTCGGGCCCTGGTTCGGCTTGTCCCCACCCCTGTAGTTGAGGGTGTTTTCACCATCCTGGTGAGTGACGCCCTCACCTGCCCATCTCTGGTCCCTGAGTAAGCCGGCAGCACCCTTACCTGGGTGGCAGACAAGCAGAGCAGAAAGTAGGTGGTGCTGGCCATAGCTGTGGTGGAGCGGCGTGTGGTGGAGGCCACTGCCACACTGCCCTGTAGTCTCAGCTGCTGACATTCTGTGGTCCAAGGACTATCGACCTGCCTGTCCTTGGCAATCACAGTGTCAGGGGAGGGGCTGGGAAGCCGGCAGGTGCAGAGGCCAGCCCGTTGTCGCAGGAGGAGGACCTTGGCCTCAGCTAAGCACTTCTTGGCTGTCCACCAGGGCACGGAGACTCAGACTCCCGCCAATGTCAGCCCTTCCTCTGAGCCTTCTCTTCACAATGAGGATGATGGCTGCTAAGCAGATGATGCTTGGGCGGGGGTCTCCAGGCCTAGCTCCAGCACACGAGGTGACCTGAGATTGTGTGGCAAGGCTGAAGTCACTGTGGGCATTGTACGCTGCCATTTTCTCAGCACAGCTCAGCCCTGTTCTCTGAAGGGGGAACTGCACCAGGTGTGGTTGACAGGACGTGGGTTTGGGAGCCCTTCTTGGAGGCTGGTGGCCACCCTGGGAATGGGGTTTGTTGCTGAAGGGGAGGAAGAAGGAACAGACAGGCCTCTCCTCACCTTGAACTGCTCAGCCTCCCAGGGGAAATTCTATGTCAGTTCCGGGGGAAATGGAGGCAGGAATCACCTGGCACTGGGTGGGTTCTCCTCCCACTAGGTTCCAGGGCAGTTTCTCCGCTGGCATCACTGAGAACTCTGCCCCCTTGGCAAGGGCTCATGCAAAAGTCCCAGAACATGGAGGGTTAGGGGGATTTCTCAGCATATGCTGTGTTGGGAAGGGAATCATCCCCTTTCCACTTCCCCCACAGGGAATGAAAGACCCCAATATGCACCTTCCTTTACAAAAGCATACAGGACTAGAGGAAATAGTAATGAATATTTATTGTTGAAATCCACACAGTTTATGTAGAGATTCTTGCAAAGCCTGGCACGGGGAGAGGGACAGAAGGGTCCCTGTTCCAGGTCTGGAGTTTGGTGCCCCCCACGTGGCCCGCACTCCTTTTGGTATCTCCTGGAAGGGTTGAGGTTTGGAATTCAGCGTCCCTGAAGCCATTCTAGCAGGAACTGGAATGAGCTCTTCTTCCTCAGAAGCAGGGAGGTCACTCTGGCAGGAGCGATGTGACAGTGGCCCTCATCTGTGTGCTTCCTAGAACACCATCGCCTCCTCTTTGCATTGGAAGTGAGTTCTGGTTCTAAGAAAAGCTGTCAGCACCCTCGAGTGCCCAGTAGCGGATGCAACATACTTTGTGTTCACCTCCTGTCCTGCTACCTCCCACCTGTTGTGTCTGTGGAAATTCTGTGATCCCGGGGCGCTGTGGACCGTATACGTGAGTGGGAACAGCCAGGAATGGCCGATGCTGTGCATATCTTTCCTGCTCTGTTGTCCTTTCAGACTTTGCTTCCCATCCATAAGTTTAAAGATAAAATAATTGAGAATTTCAAGATTGCCTCGGTTGTGCCTTAAACCATAGGGTTTGTGTTTATGCACTAGGGTTTGTGTTTATGCACAAACGCATTAAGCCAGCAGGGGCCCAGGTGTGAGGGAGGTGTGCTGCAGAAACTGAGCGTAGGCTTCGTGGGCACTGCGTGTGTATGCGGCAGGGAGGGGCTCAGGGACTCACGGGGTGTCCATTTCCTAGAGATGCGGAGCCCAGAGTCTGTTCTCAGCAAGGGGTGGGTGAGGGTCTGGTTTCACAGGTTACTGTCTGTACTGCCTGCCTGTGTTGCGGGGTTCTGAGCTGCCCAGGCTGGGTGGGGAGGGCAGTGGCCTGGAGGAAAATGGACCCCCCAGTTTGCATCCCTGACCTCACCCCTCCTTCTCAGGGTAGCTGAGTCTGTGCAGAGAAAGCAGTGGTACCTGACCAGCCCCTGATTCTGGCTCCCTGGCCCCTGGGCTCTCTCTGTCCTCCCCTGTGCAGCACTAAGGCCATTGAAGATATGGCCATTGAACGTTGCGTGAGAACAACAAAACGGGAGGGACTTGTGTTCTCAGCATCTCTGTGCTGGGTCATGTCCGTGCTTACTCAGCTTGGACCATCCAGCCTGAAGGCTGGAGTTACCATTCCCATTCTTCAGATGATAAAACGGGCACACAGAAGTAGAGGATCTTAAGTCACACGGCTGGTGAGGGCAGAGCTGAGACTCGAACCCACTCCAGTCTGGTATGGATTCTGTATGCTGTCCACAGGCGATGACAATCGCAAGGAGAGCGTGAGAGAGAGGAGGGGTCCCAGACGGAGCCAGGCACACAGATGTGCACATGCACAGGTACGCATACGTACACATATGCCCATGTCTCCCCTTCGTTTTCACCTCTGAGGCTGCAAAGGTGGGAGGAAACCTGGAGAGGAGTCAGCAGAAGCCAGGTGAGGAGGGTGGCAGCAGAAGGCAGGGGTCTATGAGGAGAAAACACCACACATCCCAAGAGACCAGAGAATTCCCTTCCCTGATGAGTCCGTGTCAAATCTTTGATTTCTCTCCCTGGCCCAGAAATTGGTTCTTCAGTGCTCTAACTAGATTCACTCCTGACTTACTCCTTTCCAGGGGTTGAATCTTCCTGTGGAGACGTGGACCAAAAATAGGAGTCATCTCGCCCTCCTGGAGCCTTCTGCTTTCAGTGATAAGAGGGGTACGAGGTATATGATGTGGACTTCAGATTCGTATGAATATGAAATTTATTAGAACCGGAGGGCAAAAAACCATGGGGGGATTGGTGTCGACATCTCCAGAGCACTTAAGGAAACCTTCCCCTGTTTGTAAACCTCATCTGTCGTCCCGGAAAGTAGAGAATTTCTTTAATCAGTTATATGTGCTCTCATTATATTCTTAGGGTGTAAGGGCTCAGTAGGCTTCCTCTAAACCTCCCTCAGAGCTGGGGTATGGAGTGTGTGGTGGCTACATTTTTCCTCTGGTCGTGGAGATGCAATTTATTGGTAAAGCTTCTGTGTGTGTCCTCTGGTGTGTGATGAGACCTGACCTCCATGTAAAGCCTCGCCCACACTCCCTGCAAACGTAGGGCTTCTCCCCTGTGTGTGTCCTCTGGTGTGTGATGAGATTTGACCTCCGTGTAAAGCCTCGCCCACACTCCCTGCAAATGTAAGGCTTCTCCCCTGTGTGTGTCCTCTGGTGTGTAACAAGGACTGACTTATGAATGAACCCTCTCCTCAGCTCCTTGCCAACAGACAGCTTCTCCTCTTTGTGTGTTCTCTGGTGTCTGCTGAGATATGACCTATCATCGAAGCCTTGCCCACTGCCTCTATATTTGACTCTTATAATTCTTGACATTCCTACCCCCATGAATAATTTTCCTGTCTCCTCTGGATTCAGTTTCTGGCCTGTGCTGGGCTCTTCCTCTACCATTCCCTCATACCCTGTTTGTCCTTTGCATGGGGTGGGAAAGGCTCTTGAATTTCTCCTCTGCCTTATACTTTCAAGCAAAGGTTTGAAACTTTCTTTGACCTCTTGACCTTTAGCTTTGTCATTCCAGCTCTGCGGATCAGAATGTTGCTGCTGCTGGTGATTTTGTTCGCCTGGGCAGGGATCCTCTGGCTGGAAATGTTCTCTTGCAGATATTCGTGGGAGGATCTGAGAAGGGTGATTGCGTTCCAAATGTTGGCTGAGGAATTTCTGACTGGAGAAAGCCAGAGTGCAAGAAGGACAGGGATGTATCTCTGGCCTTGGTTCTGCTGAAAAAAGAAATTTTTGGTCAGGTAGATGTTGATGCAACTGGCTGTGTTGTATGCTTTGTCTCCTGGTAAGGCCACCCTGGTGCTCATTTTTATTGTGTTGACAATGCAAGCTCTGTCTCCTGCCAAGGGTTCCTTCACTCTTCCATTCCGTTTTTACTCACTACATCCTCCTCAGAAATCCTAAAGCCCATACTGAGGGGCTTTTCTAGTATCACCCGGACTAGGTACCTTCAAGTAGCGTCAGAGGCAGCTTCCCTCCTTATATAGACGGACAGACAGTGACCTTTCCCCACATACAAGCACCTTCTAAGTTGTATGATTCTGTGACAGCGTTTGCAGTGATTTCATTTCCTTGAGAGGCAACAACTCGCTGGGTGACTTCAATGGGATGTGTGAGTAAACACAAACCCAAGTCTCCCCATTTAAAAAGACATTTTTAACTGAGGACCAGTATGCGTCTGGATCTCTACTAGAAAGTGGGATATAGATTGGACGAGACACTTGCACAGGTCTCATGGCCTAAAGGGCTCTGGCTCCTGCTGCCCCAACTACGTTATAAATTGCTTCTATTTTAGTTTTCCGCAAATCATAATAGAAAAATATACCCTTCATACTGTATTTATTTCCTTCAGTCTTAGCCCATTTCAAATACAATAGGAAGTCCTGTTTCAAAATATTTTCCCAACCAGTTACGGGGATATATATCACCCCCCAATGCCATCCATCTCCTGCCAATATGCCATCTTCTCTCACTTAGAGATGATGTAATCTTAGAGGGGATTCCCCACTGCAGTCTTTCTCCAAAATTAACCATAGGATCATCTTAAAACAGAACACACCACTTGCCAGTTGGAAACTGCACAATTGTTTCATCTCAGTCAGGAAAACCCCCAGTGTGTCAGAGTGGACCATAGGCTCTAGGAAGTCTGTGGCTCTCTCTGACCTCCATTCCTGACGTCTATGCTTCCTCTAACCGGGGGGGTTCTCAGCCACACACCACACACACCCACCTCTCTTGTGCCTCGGGGCAGCTGTCTAGGTGGACCCCCTTTGCCTGGAATCCTTTGCTCACAGGTGTTTGCACACCTCAAATGTTACCTCCTGGGAGAGCCCTTCCCTATCCAAGCTCTGTTGCACTCACCCTTCCCTCACATTGGTCCCCAGACACTTTCTGAGGACTAGCTTGATTTTCAAAGCACTAATTGTTGTGTGCTGTTATGCACATGCATACCTATGTGCACATATTTCCCTCGTTCATTCAGTCATCAGCTGCTGATGAGCAGTGACTCTGAAAACCTTGTTCAGTCCTGGAAGCCTATCTGGCACAGAGTAGGGACTCCCATGATAGCTACCTGAATTATGGGTGAGTACACACCAACAGAGAGATATCATTTAGAAATATGGAGAAAAAAAAAAGAAAGAAATATGGAGCAAATTAAGAAGAAAGAGCTAAAAGGGCAGAAGAAACTGCCTTGGTAAGAGAGCTGGTAGGTGCCTGAAAACTTGTTTTTTGCCTCTACAATTTTTTTATCAGTATATTCTATTATATATTTTGTGTATGAAGTATTTAAGAAATCAGAACAGAAATTAAAAATGAAAAAAAATGTTCCTAAGAGTCCCATGCCTGTGAATTCCGAATTATTTCTGAAGCATCGGAATTGCAACTGCATTGACTTTAGACAGGGTTTACTCTACTTAAGGGTTGGACTGTGGAAACTGCCAAGGAGAAATCTTCCTTTTTTTTCTGTTTTGTAGAGCAGTGGTGCCCACCTTTCCCTGCTGTGAGCTCGCTCTTCCACTTGCTTCCCCACTTGATGCCCAGCTCCTGGCCGTACTCGTCCCCGTACCAGACCAGCAGTTCGCAGCCTGGCCTGATGACCCGGCAGGTTCGGTAGAAGATCTGCCTGCGATACTGAAAGGCCACCAGATTCTGCTCCTCATCATCCCTGGCACAGTTCACGTACCTGGGAAAGAGGACCAGAGGAGGTAAGTTCCCACCACCTGAAGGCCTCCATGCTGTTATGCCGCCCACTCCCCCACTGCTCATCAGGGAATGCCCTGCTCATACTCAAGCTTCCATCAAAACAACATATGAATTCCCATCTCTAAGTTCTGCTCACTGCCCTCAGTCGGCCTAGAAGGCTCTCCCCCTTGCCTGCTTAACCATTTTTCAAATCCCAACTCCAGACTCACTGTCACTTTGATTGGTCACAAAGCCCAGTGACATCTAGTTTCTCTAAACTCTAAATTAAGTTCTGTTTTATAGCATGGTGTTTGGTCATGGACTCTGCTTCTAGACCACTACGCATCATTCCATACTCAGCCCAAATCTATGTTCCTTTGAGAGGCCTTTCTCCAATCTCCCCATACCGTGTCTGAAGCATGCATCGCCCAAGTTCCCACAGAACCTTGGAGCTCTCTCTGTCTTGCACAACAACAAAGGAAAACAATATTTTATTCATAATGCATCCCCTGCTAACATGTGAGCCCCTCAAGGAAAGGGGCTGGATCATGAAGTGCAGAGGCCTGTGGCCATTCTGCAGCCCATTTTTACACAGGCTTCAGAACTAGTTCTACTAGAACTGAGGCTAGGAAGAGCTGCTGCCCTCACGCATTAAAGGTCCCTTGTTCTAGGTTATCCCTACACTGTGTGCCCTTGAAAAATAGGGAGATTATAGTTAAATTTTCCTAAAGTCAATCCTCTACTGTCTATCTGCAATATGTCTTCCATAGGACATGGGTTGCATAATATGTGTAAGTAATGAACCCCACTGTGGAACACAGTAAGTGCTTATGAATGTTGAGTTGATAAATTAAAGTGTGAATCCAGTGTTCCTCATGAATCTGGGCTCCTCAGGGTTTTTTCCAGGGTTCAAATTTTATCTAGCATATTTTGAGGACATATGCTATGTTCTTAGCTCCTTTTTACCAAAACTGTCACTCGAAGTGAAAGAGCATTATAAGGAGAAAAATGCGGAACAGAGGATTGAGGGAGACCATTGAGGGGGCATGACAAGAAGGAAAGGAGCATGGGTTTGTGAGGGTGATTGTTTTCTCCAGAAGCCAGAACCCTGTCGGCCTTACCTCATCCAGTTGGCCCAAGAGTTATCCTTTCCATCCACGTACTCATAACAGTTTCTTCCTTTGGTGATCTGAGTTTGAGAAAGGGAAATTAAAGACTTTTTTTTTTTTTTTTTGGTGGGGAGGTAATAGAGGGATTATTTTACTCTCCTGCGGTCTGTGCTCTTCCAGCCTGCATGGGATCAGTCCCCAGTGTGACCACATGATGTGCTCCTTAGTCATCACCTACACATCTGGGTCACTTTGTCAATTCAGGGCAGGGGTCTCACAAGGGAGGAGCCTATTTGTGTCTGTATGATTATATCTCCTCTTACCCTCTGATCTTTAAGTAGGAGCTCCAGGTTCATGCAAAGTCCACTCAGTACACAGAGCTAGCCATGTTATAACCCCCATCCACGTAGATGGTGACGTCCTCCCAATCCATAGGAGGGTTGTGGGAAGCCAGAGGGTGGGGGAAGAGATGATGGTTCTCACCAACCAGGAGTATCCACTGTTGGCTGCCTCCTCATCTTCTGTGATTTGGCCCTCATAGGGGCCAAAGTGTAGCCCCAATGGCAGATCAGATGCCTCGTTCCATACTCCAAGCCCAGCCTGAGGGATGCCTGATGGTCTGATTCTCAGCCCAGGGGGCAGAGTGAGGGCTGAGCGGTTGGGTTGCCCCTTGTCCACTGCACTGTCCTTTACAAATGTAGGGGGCCCGTGAACAGCACAGCTGTCAATGAAGAAGTTCTGACACTTCTCACAATCTGGAGGCAAGAGCAACAGGGATTAGGAAAGGATTTTGCATGTTCCTGGACTTGAGCAGTTTCAGAAAGAGCCCAACACTCACATCATTTGGCCTCTACCTTGTACTCCCAGTCACTAGAGGGAGGGGATGATTTGGGGACCGGAAGACAAGACCCAGTTACGGTACCAGGAGAGAACAAGTTCCTTTGAGAGTGGGCCAAGATGGCCACTTACAGAGGTAGTCATCATCCTGGGGCTCGCTGACCTCCTGGTACGCAAGACTCTTTCTTTCTCGTAGACTATACATCTTTACTTCAACATCCTTTCTCCTGAGTTCTGAGTTGGAAAAGACTATGTGAGTGAGGTTGGTGGGGTCTGGAGTGTTAGTCCCTGTTTTGTCAGAAAACATAACATCTCCTCTGATAAATTATTACCTGTCCTTCTATATACTCTGTTCTCTGCCGTTCCCAAACTATTCAGAGTGTAAGATTCCATACTGACTAGAGATGGCTAATTCAATTTTACTTTTTTCGCCATTATCAGGTTAATCTTTGTAATCTTTCCTCTTAGAAAATGGTTCATTCACATATTTCTTCATTCAGAAAATATTTGTTGAGGGCACATTACATGTCAGGCATTGAACAAGGGCCTGGGCATTCAACACCAAGAAAGTATGGTCTTTATTATCACCGAGGGATTTATTGGACACCTTGCGTGGGTCAATTATTTTATGTTAAATTAATGCTTTCAAACAATATATAAACTATACATCTTTATCTTCATTCTACAGATTAGAATTCAGGAGCTCAGAGAATTTACAAGATTTGTCCAAGGCCTCAATGCTAACTACAGGTCTCAGGTAAGTCTAGCTTAAACCCAGGCCTAGGCAAAGTCTGTCCCACATACCTACATTGTATTCATCAACCTTTCTGGAGAACTTAGAGGGACTAAAAGTCCCCATATTATTTTTTCTTACCCAGTTTTCGTAGGGAGTGCTGTCCAGAGGTACTTGCTTCTCCAGGAAGGGACACTGGTTTCTGGCCCTGCTCTGAGCCACTTGTGTTCAGCAACTTTGCTGTTTCTGATAATTCCTTCAAACTATATTCGTTACTTAATGGCGCCCTGGGTATTCCCTTCAATGTGAGAATCACATATTAAAAGACAACATGCATTTCTTTAGTCCTTTAAGGCTTATGGTGTGTTTTCACATGCATTACTTTAGTTAGTACTTCAACAACCCTTGGGAATACTTAAAGAGTCTGAATACTAGAGGGAAAAGAAAGGGCATATGTGGGTATCAAATGTGAGACTAGAACCCATGGCTTAAGACTCTTTCCCCTTAAATTTCTCAAAATTTTCCATAAAAGTGAGAGTGAGGGAGGGAGATTACTCGGGAAGACTAGTTGGAGAATCACTGTCCTCTGTGATAGTGAGATAGAAGGTGATGAGGGCTCATAGAGGAAAAGAGGAGATCTTCTATAAACTAGTGGATATTTGATGGAGGAAGAAATGGAGGCAAATGGAGGGGACAGCACACAACTGGAAAATGAGGTGACATGAGTAGAGAGACGGGGAAGAAAACAAAGGGTTTGTAGAAATGTATCTAAACACTAAAAAAAAAAAAAAGAAAAAAAGAAAAAAAAAAGGATGCTAAAGTTGCCATTTGCCATATCCAGGAAAGACTATTTGTGATTAGATTAGCTGGTTCCTGTCAATTTTGTTTGAATAAGGTTGTAGCACCAGCTAGCTCTCTTTAGTTTCCTGATCCATAAATTGGTATATATACTAATTCTTAACGTTATAGAAAACAGAAAATATTATAATGATCATCAAATTGTTTGGTGAGGTATTTAATATAGTCAGAATAAGAGGTTACAATTTACCCCCTCAGTTGTGCCCATGTTCAAAATCTAAATCACAGATATTATTTTTAGCATTCCTTGAACTTTTAATTTTTTGTTTAATCTGTAAATGCAGAATTACTCATGCAGAAAACATTGAGGGGCCCTCTGGTGCCTTAAGCTGGGCCTGGGACTTCTGAGAAGAAAGAGCTTGTCGTGTGGAGGCAGTCTACACAAATAATTCTGAACAAAATGAGAGTTGTCTAATGAGAGCTCAGAGGAAGCAGTTGTTGTTTTCTCCTACAAGTATGAGCATTTTAGATCAGTTCCAGATACCTATCTGGAGTTTCTAATGAATATTATGCAACCTATATGAAATCTTGAAGTCATTTTATTGGTTGTTTCTCAATCAGCAAACCTGAAACTACTCAGGGCTGGGAGATACTTCCTCTTATTAGAATGGGAGGCTCTCGGTGGGGGAGGGGGAGCCTATCTTCTGCATCTGGGATCCTCCAGTGTATGAATTGCTAGTATATTTGTAAGCTTCTCTTATTTAGAGGGTCTTAGCTCATCTCTCACTTTGGCATAATAGAAAAGAACTGAGGTTGAAATCATCAAATGAATGTTGCAAATTTTACAAAACTCTGAAAGTTTTTTTTCTTAAGATTTTATTTATTTATTTGACAGACAAGTAGAGAGGCAGGCAGAGAGAGAGAGGAGGAGGAAGGCTCCCTGCTGAGCAGAGAGCCTGATGTGGGGCTTGATCCCAGGACCTTGGGATTGTGACCTGAGCCGAAGGCAGAGGCTTTAACCCACTGAACCGCCCCGGTGCCCCCAAAACTCTGAAAGTTTTAATGAGCTTATAAGTGGTTTAGAGAAGGAGCTTAGGATTAGACTGCACTATCACTGGTCCTGTGATCTCAGGTATATAATCAAACATGTCTTTGTCTCAATTTGCTCATCTATAAATGGTGATATTTATAGTACCCACCTCATAGGGTTGTTGTAAGGTTTAAGTAAGTTTATTCATTTGTTTGAAGTCTGAAGTGCAGTGAAAATAAAACAAGTGGTAGCTAATATCATTGCTGTTTTTATTAGCTATTAAAGTGATGAAGATATTGGATATTGTGCTAAAGAGATCAGGAAAGGAAGGCATCAGCTCCTACTCTTACCTGTGTTTCAATCCACGAGAAAGATTTTCTTGTCCACAGGTTTTGGGAAATACTCACCTTCTGGTGTTTACTTTGCTCCATTCTGAATGCCACCCAAGAAGGTCTGACTATAAAGTGATAAGAAATCAGTGTTCTGGTTGGTAAATGTTTCCAGACTCTAGAGGCTCTCACTAGAGACACAGAGTTCTTAACCAGGGAGTGTCGAGTATGTGGATTATCAAGGGGTGATTAGAAAATGGTTTCTGAAGTATCATCACAGCCCGTGCTGCTACTGGTGGCATGAACTAATTTACCTAAAATGTAAAAAAAAATACACAAAACCTCATTTATGCTTCATCCTATGTTCATAAGTTATCTATTACACATATTAAAACATATGTCATGAACTTCTATGGCAAATATACTCAACAAACTGAGAATTGAAAGAACTTACTTCACCATAAGAAAAAAGTCTATCTCCCACATCACACTCTACAGTTAAAAACTGAAAGTTTTTCCTCTAAGATCAAGAACAAGGCAAGGATGTCCACTCTCACTACTTCTATTCAACATAGTACTGAAAGTCCTAGCCAGGGTATTGGGGGAAAAAAAAAAAAAGGACATGCATTTTGGAAAGAAAGAGGTAAAATTTTGTTTGTTCACAGATGACATGATCTTAAATGTGGAAAATCCTAAAGATTCCATACACACACACACACACACACACACACACACACACACACACACACAAAACCTGTGAGAACTAACAAATGAATTCAGCAAAGCTTAAGGTTACAAAATTAACACTAAAAAATTTGTTGCATTTAGGTTGCCTGCGTGGCTCAGTCAGTTGAGTGTCTGACTCTTGGTTTTGGCTCTGGTTGTAATCTTGGAGTTGTGATCAAGCCCTATGTTGGGCTCTGTGCTCAGTACAGAGTCTCCTTAGGAGTCTCTGCCTTTCTTATGCTGAGTGAAATAAGTCAATCAGAGAAAGACAATTATCATATGATCTCCCTGATATGAGGAGGCTGAGAGGCAAAGTGAGGGGTTTGGGGGGGCAGGGAGGGAAAAAAGTGAAACAAGATGGGATCAGGAGGGAGACAAACCATAAGAGACTCTTAATCTCACAAAACAAGCTGAGGCTTGGCGGGGAGGGGGTAGGGATAGGGTGGTTGGGTTATGGACATTGGGGAAGGTATGTGTTATGGTGAGTGCTGTGAAGTGTGTAAACCTGGCGATTCACAGACCTGTACCCCTGGGGCTAATAATACATTATATGTTAATAAAAAATTAAAAATTTAAAAAAAAAGAGTCTCTGCCTTTCCATCTCCATCTGCCACTCCCCCCAATGTGTATGCACGCTCTCTCTCAAATAAATAAGCAAACAGAATGTTAAAGAAAATTAGTGGGGGCGGTGAGGAGACGGGGTAACTAGGTGATGGGTATTAAGGAGGGCAAGTGATGTGATGAGCATTGGGTGTTATACACAACTAATGAATCACTGAACACTACATCAAAAACTAATGATGTACTATATATTGGCTAATTGAACTTAATAAAAAACTTATCTGCATTTGTATGTACTAACAATGAATAATCCAAAAGGAAATTAAGAAAACAGTCTTATTTATAATAACACCAAAAGGAATGAAATAATTAGGAGCAAACTTAACCAAGGAGGTGTAACATTTGTACACTGAAAACTACAAAACATTACTGAAAGAATTTAAAGAAGACACAAGTAAATGGAAAAACACCCCATGTTCATGTATTAGGGGTCTTAATATCATTAATATGTCTACACTACAAAGCAATATACAGATTCAATGCAATTCTTATCAAAACCCGAATGGTATTTTTTTGCAAAAATAGAAAAAGTCAATCCTAAAGTTAATATGAAATTTCAGAGGACCCCAAATAGCCAAAACAATCTTGAGAAAGAAGAACAAAGTTGGAGAACTCACAGTTTCTGGTTTCAAAACATATTACACGGCTACAGTAAGCAAAACAGTATATTATTGGCATAACAACAGACATATAATCTATGGAACAGAATAGAAAGCCCATATAGTTGAATAATCTTTGTAAAGGATGCCAAGACTATAGAATGGGGAAAGGACAATCTTTTCAACAAACGATGCTGAGAGAATATAATAGTCACATGCAAAAGAATAAAGATGCCTTAACAAAGAAGAGAAAAGCTGGAGGTAACACAATTCTGGACTTCAAGTCCTATTACAAAGCTCTAGTAATTAAAACAGTATGGTACTGGCATAAACATAGACACACAGATCAATGGAACAGACAGAAAACCCAAAAGTGAATCCACAACTATATGATCAATTGATCTTCAACAAAGCCAGAAAGAATCTCTTCAGCAAATGGTGTTGGGAAAACTGGACAGCAACATGCAAGGGAATGAAACTAGGCAACTTCCTTACACCGAACACAAAAATAAATTCAGAATGGATTGAAAACCTAAATGCAAGACTTAATACCATAAGAATCCTGGAGGAGAGCACAGGCAGTAACCTCTTTGCCACTGGTCACAGATACGTCTTTCTAGATATGTCTCCTGAGTCAAGGGAAGCAAGCAGAAATAAACTACTGGGACTACATTGAAATGAAAACCTTCTGCACAGTGAAGGAAGCAACCAACAAAATTAAAAGGCTGCCTACAGAATGGGAGAAGATATTTGCAAATGACATATCTTTTTTTTTTAAGATTTTATTTATTTATTTGACAGACAGAGACTACAAGTAGGCAGAGAGGCAGGCAGAGAGAGGGGGAAGCAGGCTCCTCGCTGAGCAGAGAGCCCCATGAGGGGTTTGATCCCAGGACCCTGGGATCATGACCTGAGCCGAAGGCAGAGGCCTTAACCCACTGTGCCACCCAGGCACCCCACAAATGACATATCTGATAAATGGCTACTATCCAAAATATATAAAGAATTTATAAAACTCAACACCTCCAAAATGAATAATCCAATTAAAAAATGGGCAGAAGACATGAATAGACATTTTTTTCAAAAAAGGCATACAGATGGCCAACAGACATGAAAAGATGCTCACCGTCACTGATCATCAGGGAAATACAAATAAAAGCTACAGAAGATGTCATCTCACACCTGTCACAGCACAGGGTGAGGATGTGAAGAAAGGGGAACCCTCTTGCACTGTTGGTGAGAATGCAAACTAGTGCAGCTACTCCAGAAAACAGAATGGAGTTTCCTAAAAAGTTATAAATAGAACTATCCTATGATCCAGCAATTGCACTACTAGATATTACTCAAAGAATAAAAAAGTACTGTTTCAAAGGGATACATGCACCCCAGTGTTTATACCATCCATATCTACAATAGCCAAACTACGGAAATAGTCCCAAGTGTCCAACTGACAAATGGATAAAGAAGATGTGTTATATATACATATACATATATACATATAAATCTATCTATATCTCGATATAATATATATGAATATTAGCTATAAAAAAGAATGAAATCTTGCCATTTGCAACAACATGGATGGAACAAGAGTATTATACTATGTGACATAAGTCGTTCAGAGAAGGATAATTACCACATGATTTCACTGATGTGTGGAATTTAAGAAACAAATGAGCAAAGGGGAAAAAAAGAGGCAAACCAAGAAACAAATTCCAAACTATAGAGGAGAACACACTGATGGTTACCAGGGGGGAGGTGGGTGAGGGGATGAGTTAAATAGGTTATGGGGATTAAGGAGTGCACTTATTATGATAAGCACAGGTTGCATGGAAGTGTTAATTACTATATTACATACCTGAAACTGATATAACAACACTGTATGTTAACTAACTGGAATTAAAATGAAAACTTAAAAAAAATGAAGATGGACCTTTCCATAATTATCTCAAACCCTCATCCAGAATTAAGACTCTGCATGATAAGAAAAAGAATCTGGCTCATTTTGGGGTAACAAGATTATGTGTGTGATTAAATAAACATAAACAAGGATGTATCTTTACATATGTTCGTCATATTCTCTTCTAAGACATTTAATCCAATAACTGAGTAAAAGGAATCACAGAGATTAGCTCTTTGGTGGACTTACAGTCTAATTAAGGTTTCTTTAACTGCCCTTTCATTAGGTAATAATGTTTAGGAAAAACAGCCTTTTTTAAAAAAATGATGAATTTTAAATATATAAAAAGGTGTGGAGAATCATATGTAAAACCACCACCATATCCACCACCATTCAGCCTTATCTCAACATTCTGCCACAACTGTATATCTTTATTTTTTATTTTTATCTTTATAGCTTTTAACTTCTTTTTTAAAATTCAAAAACAAAAATAAAAACAAATAGAAAAATAGGGCACCTGGGTGGCTCAATTGGTTAAGTGTTTGTCTTCAGCTCAGGTCATGACCCCAGGGTCCTGGCATTGGCCTGCTTCAGGCTCCCTGCTCGGCGGGGAGTCTGTTTCTCCCTCTCTGTCTGCTCCTCCCCCAACCTGGGCTCTCGTGCACATGCTCTCTCTCTCTCTCTCTCTCACTCAAATAAATGGAATCTTTAAAAAAAGAGAGACAACTAGCCAAGACACAGCAGAACCACTTGCCACCCTTTCCATTTTCTCTTATAACTATTCTGAATTTGGCATTTCTTTTGTTTTTATATGTTTACCAACTATTATACACTATTAGTGTATTTACAAATGATATAATTATTGTCCACATTTAAAAACTTTATATGGGGGCGCCTGGGTGGCTCAGTGGGTTAAAGCCTCTGCCTTTGGCTCAGGTCATGATCCCTGGGTCCTGGGATCGAGCCCCGCATCAGGCTTTCTGCTCAGCAGGGAGCCTGCTTCCCCCTCTCTCTCTGCCTGCCTCTCTGCCTGCTTGTGAACTCCGTCTGTCAAATAAATAAAATCTTAAAAAAAAAAACTTTATATGAATACCCTCTTACTATATGATATGCTGTTTTACATCTTGGGTTTATGTTTTTAAGGAAAGAGTTTCCTTTGTTGACTCCTGAGATGCAGCTGAGCCCTGAACCTTGGGTTTTAGAAGGAAACCCGACATCTCCCTGGCCCCCTCACCTTGCTGCCTTGGCGTCCATTCTTCATCCGAATCCTCAGTGTCATCTACTTGTGGTTTGATGGCCTGCCTGCGGTGACACATGAAAGCCGGTCGAGGGGCTCTGAGACCTGGAAAGAAGCAGACTTCTGGTCCTCAGAGGGAAGAGCTAGAAGGAGGAACCAAGCACAGTGGCAGTGGACAGTACCACCCAGTCAGGGCGACTCAACTGGTGGAGGTGAGGGGAGGGCAAGGGGTGAGTTCTGCATCGCCAGCGCGAGCCCTACACTGATAGGGAAGAACACAATTTCGCTCCAGATTTGTCTTCACACGGAAGGGAACTAGGGGCAGACGGAGCCACTCCAGAGGCCAACGACGACAGGGCCGCAGGCCTGGCTCATGTTTCCCCGGCTCATCAGCACCCAGCACTTCCGGTTACCTATAGTTATCAGGGCTTCGTAGTTCCTTTTCACATTCCTGTATCGGATTTTCTCCCAGTCTCCCATCTCTGTCCATTCTTCCTTGGAGAAGTACACGGAAATGTCTTTGAAAGCGTCTTTGGCCTAGGGAAAGGAGAGATTCCATCAGTGGCTTACTAACCCCAGTTGGGACTTCGAGCTGGGCCTCCCCCCCACCTTAAATGTAGTGCATTCCCCGATTCCTCGGAGTGCTCCTGTGAAGCGGGGTGAAGAGCTTCTCTCCCTCCTGAGGGTGTCCTGGTGAACCGAACAAGCGCTGAGCGTTTCCCTAGCTGTCTTCTGACAAAGAGCCATTGCTGATGGTTCTGTCCTGTGTCCCCTCCCCCATCCCGTAAAGGAGCAAGCGCCTCCACCCTGTGTCCATGCACGGAGAGGCTCCCCCGCCGGTGGAGGCCAGGAGTCTGTGGTGCTCAGGGAGCAGCTCCTTGTCACCACCCCCTCCTCGACCTTCCTACAGACCGTGCCTGGAGCCCAGCTTCTCCCACACCTCTCACCGTGGGCTTCCACCCTGTTCTCCCCGAGTCTCTCTCAGGGGTCTCCTCTGGGGGCCTGTTGAGGCTCCTGGTGCTGGGACCTCCAGGCAGGCCCTGCTCAGACTCTGAGGCCGTCAGTGGCCGCATGAGTCTCTCTGTCCCAAGGCCAAAGCGCCTGTGGAAGAAGAAGGTGCTGAGAGTGGGTGACAGCCCAGACCACTGCCCAGAGCCGTTTCTGTCTTCCCCATTTGGGTGGGGGGTCTAGAACAAGAACATGTGGGGGCCCCAGAGAGGATTAGAAGATGCAGGTGAGGTCTGGGGTCTTGGTGGCAGGGAGGAGTCTCTCCTGGCCTTGACAGACATCCTAATGAGAGTTAGGTTTTGTTTCTTTTATTCCCCGCAGCTCGGCCGTCTGAGGGAGGGAAGCTGGAGGGATGTGGCTGCCAGCGTTTGCTGGGAGTCCTGAGGTGCAAGGCCGGAAGAGCACCGAGGAGGCCTGGGGGTCCCTGAAGGCTGGGGCTGCTGACAGACGCCCACAGCTCTGCTCCAGGGAGAGGACGTGAGTACTTCCCAAAGGAGGGTTTCTCGGGATGTCCCACTGGGGATTCTGGAAAAATGTGGTGTGAGCAGTCTGGATCTCCAAGGGACAGAGAGATCTCGGGGTGAAGGGATTTGGTCTCACTCGGGGGAGGGGTTGGGGTCTCTCATGTCAAGGGTATCTGGGGCGCCCGGCAGAGGACATCTGGGGTTCCTCAGGCTGACGGTGTTGGCAGTCTCTCAGGACAAGATTTGGGGTCTTTCAGGCTGGAGAGATTGAGAACGCTCAGGCTGAGAGAATGTGGGATCTTGGAGACTGAAGAGATTAGAGGTCTCGCGTTCTAAGATCCGTAGTCTCTCGTGAACCGGCTTTAGGTTTTCTGACGTGGAGTTTCCTTGGGGTCTGTGGAGCCGCAGGGATTTATGAGCTTGCAGGCTGATGGTCCTCAGGGTCTCTGAGGCTGGGGGGATGTGCTCTCTGTGGGCGTACATTTCGGGTGTCTCGGGCTGAGGGTTTTGGGGGTGCCTCAGGCCGAGGGTGATTTGTGTTACTCAGGGGGATTTGGGCCTCTAAGTATTAGGGATTTAGTGTTTCTCTGGGTGAGGGATTTGAGGTTTCTGCAGCTGAGGTGCTTGGGGGTTGGGGGGTCTCCCGCCGAGCTGTGAGGACCCTCCAAGGCAGAGGAATTGGGTTCCCTTGAGGCGGCGAGATTTGGTGTCCCTGCGGCTGAGGGGAGTTGGAGCCAGACAGGGTGAGGGGTCCCAGGGTCTCCCGGGTGAGGTTTGAAGGTTTCAGAGTCGGGGTTTAGAAGAGTTTCACAGGGCACTGCAGGGGCGTCCGTGTTCCCGTCAGTCTCCCTGGAGGCCCTCACCGCCCACCCTGGTCTGGCGCCTTCGCAGAGCCCCCGCGCGCTTCCAGCCTGGTGAGAAGTGAGACGCGTGGTCGGCGCGATACCGGCTTGTACTGCCAAGTCAGGCAGAAGCCACCAATCAGCGCTGCAAGCAAAGTAGCCCTTCCAATCGGCGTGCAGGAGGGGCCTGAGGGGGCGGAGCGTAGGGCCAGTTGCGTGTGTCAGTCACCGGCAGAACCCCACCCCCGTGGACGGTCCCGCCCCACCCCGCGGGGATTGGCTGCTCGGAGTCCAGTACGTGTCTGTCAAGAAACAGCAGTGCGCAGGCGCAGTATGGCAGTTTTCCTTGACTGTTCGGTACCCAGACGCTGGTGAAGGCAGGGCAGGGCAGGAGACGGAGCAGAGTGCCCTGCAGCCCAGGCTGAGCCGAGCGCGTTGAGCTGACCGCAGGTCTTTAGGGTGGACCTGGCACAAAGATTCTTTGCTCGACCACACTTTCCGGCCCTGGAAGGGTTTCCCAGGCCATCTGTGCCCTTCCTGGTAGAATCCATCTTTAGCAATAGCTAGATGTGACCATTTAGTGTACAATGAATATCGCATTACATTCAGGGGACAACTGTGTAATTCAGTAATGTGTGATGAAACAAAGTATAGACATCAAATAAAGTCTACACGGCTCAAAGCTTTAAACCCGACAAACGGAAGAGTAGGTATATTAGAAAACCACTGAGAATTCTTTATCTTTTCTTTTCTTCCTTTTTTTTTTTTTTTTTGGGGGAGGGAAGGAGGGGGGGGGGGGCGGTGGTGAGGGGCAGAGGGAGGGAGAGAGAGATAGAGAGATAGAGAGAGAGAATCTCGAGCAGGTTCCATGCCCAGTGAGGAGCCTGGATTGGGGCTCGAGGTGGGGCTCCATCCAGGGCTTGATCTCACGACCCTCAATTCATGACCTGAGCCGAAATCCAAAGACGGATGCTTAACTAACTGAGCACTCAGGTAATGCCACTTAGAATTCTTAAGCTAAAAGTGGAAGTGGCGTTTGTGAGTAAAAACCGTGTTTAAATAATGTAGGTCTCAAAGTCATCAGAAGTCGTGCTGGCTTAGTGGAATGATACAGAGAAGATTAGCATGCTTCCTGTTGGAGGATGACATGCACGTTTGTGAAGTGCTCCGTACTAAAAAAAGAAGAAAAGTCATCAGAAAGAAGGAGACATAAATAAAATCAAAGGAAAAAAACCCTGAAATAATATGCAAGTATTTTGCATAAAAATGAAGCATCAGCTATAAGGACACTCAGTCCACTGAGGTGGGCCAGTTTAAGACCTACTGGTTTTCAGAAGATAAAATGGGAATAGCGTTTCTGGCTTTTACTAAATTTTGAACATAAAAACATAACACAGTTTCCCTGAACTAGGGCTCCAAAGCCGGAATTCTTACCAAGGAAGGACCGCCAGATTCCAGGCAAAGTTTGCCCAGCTCAGCCGTCATGAAGGGAGTGGTCGATCGGACCTCTAAGGGCCCACAGACCTCTTAGGTTCCCCCGAGAAGAGTGCTGGGTGGGGGCTGGGAGTAGAGGGAGCAGTGAGAGAGTGGGGAGCTTCAGGAAATTGTGAGACCATCTGTGTAGTGGTCGATGTTTGGGTGGGTGCAGAGTTGATGGTCGGTCTTGTGCGTGAGCATCTATGTGGTCCCTGCTGTCAGCTTTATGGTTCAAAGAAATGTGAGATTAAAAAAAAATATTGCTCTTCAAGTGCTCACTGTTAACCTTAAAAAGAAAGCTGCCAGTTATTTTAGCAGCAGAAAGGACTTTATCCTGGAATAGCAGAGAATTGCAATCCAGGACTAGCAAATGAGGGCAAAACCATAGGATGGCCCTCAGAACAAAGGAGAGGGCTATCTTTTAGAGAGGAGAAGGGGATTTGGGAAGGCCATTATAGACAAAAAGTTTGCTGGAGTAAAGGGAGTTGAAGCACCGAGACTTCTCCTTGCCTGAGCTAGGACTGTCTCTTGTTGGCCAGGCTATTGCTAGTGTAAGGTTTTGTAGGCGAGATAAACACGACTCCAGGCAAAGTGGGTGCAAGGCAAGATTTATTAAAGGCACTCTCCGGCGAAGTTTTAGGGCTCAGGAGAAGGGGGAGCCAGGAAAGTTGCACTGGGAGGAGGTGGGCACTCTCGGGTGAGGTTCCGTGACTCTGGAAAGCAGAGTGGGGGAAGTCGCACTGGGAGGGAGTTGGCCGGGGTCTTTTATCTGTCTCCTGCAGAGGTATCGGTTACCTATGGAGACGTGACCTGGGCATACATCCTTTTGGCGGGAGAGTCAAGGGTTAAGGACGGGGGGTAGGCTGGAAGACACCGGTCATTTCCATTGCTCCTCCTGCACTCCGGGTCATTTCTATTCTTCCTCCTGCACTCCCGGAGCCCACCGACCCAACAGCTAGGAAAACATCCTTCCTCCTGCAGGGTTAGGAGAGAAGTTCACCTACTATAGGTGAAGTAGGGGTACATTTGCAAGGTGGTCTCTTCCTGTTGGATAAGATGCAGTGCAGTTAAAGAACCCATTAAATAGCAAAACTGAAACAAAACTTAGACCCCTTCAAAAAAACTCTCCAAACCAAGACTTGGCCAAAAATAAGAAAAATTCAAAAGGATAATGACAGAAAGAAAAGAAACAAATGGAAAGGCATAATGTGCTCTCCGACAGAAATACTCAGTGTTATAAACACATCAGGTCTCCATATGTTAATATATTCCTATAAAAATAATTTACTTTGTGGAATTTTCCAAACAGGTTAAAAAGATAATGTGTAAAAATAAAAGCGAATAGCAAGGAAATGAAAATAATTAAGACTAATGGGTAGGCTAGCCTGTCAAATATGAACATTTCTTATAAACTTAAGTATTAAAAGTATTCATTTTGGCAATGAGTATATAGTCTTATCAATATAATTCAATATGGAATCAAGAAGTAGGCCCTGGGGGGCGCCTGGGTGGCTCAGTGGGTTAAAGCCTCTGCCTTCGGCTCGGGTCATGATCCCAGGGTCCTGGGATCGAGCCCCACATCGGGCTCTCTGCTCAGCGGGGAGCCTGCTTCCTCCTCTCTCTCTGCCTGTCTCTCTACCTACTTGTGATCTCTATCTGTCAAATGAATAAAAAAAAAAAAGAAGTAGGCCCTGGGGTGGTTAATTTTATGTGTCTTACTGGGGGAGCCGTGTGGACGGCGCAGACCCCCAGTCCCAGGTCTGGGTCCGGGGGAGCACAGAGCTCACTGAGTTCCATCACCAAAGGCTTCTGGGACTTCAGGGTCAGTGCAGGGGCCCAGGAGGTCTGACCTGTGGCCATGGGCAGAAACTCCTCTGGGAGCCCCTCCTCAGCCATGGACAGCCCGAGTCTTCCAGAGCTCTGACAGCCTCTGCTGATGGCTGTGGGCTGGGTGTCCCACTTCCAGAAGCCTGGTGAGCCCGAGCTGAGGCCTCCCTTTTTAGAGATAGCCTTTGCACAGTCCCTGAGGGGTTGGCAGTCCCTATCAACATGTCTTCCCTTTGTGAGCCCTGGCTTGGAGGTTTCAGGGGGTTCCCGACCTTAAGGGTACGTCATCCAGTGACAGCGGCTCAGACTGGGATGGGGACGGCCTTCTCTTCTCTCTCCTGCTGTTACAGGGGTGTGAGGGTCTTGTCTCATGGAGTCCAAGAATGAATCTCACTGAAAGAAAAGGGTGAAGCAAAGTGAAACTTGTTAAGTGGTGATGAGAATGGAAAGGGGGAAAAAGCTCTCCAGAATGAGAGGGGTCCTGAGTGGGTTGCCAGTGAGGGCTTCTGGTGGGAGTCTTTTATGGAGAACTGACCAGGAAGCTTGTGGCCTTGAGACTGTTGTGACAACTTATTTTGTTCCCTTACCTCTTGTTCTGCTCTGTCTCAGCGTCTCCCCCTGTCAGGAATAGTCTCAGAGCCTAGTTGGGAGACTTAGGGGCCTCCTGTCTCTCCCTGCCTTTGCCTTCACCCCTTCCTTGCTCCTGGAACAGGACCTGTGGGCAGAAGGAGCTGGACTGGGATTGTGAGGAATGACTGTTAAACTTTTTAATTAGTAGGGGTGAGGGATAGCGCAAGTCTCCAAGGAATCTAGAAGCAAGGCTCTCAGGGCCTTGAGGGGCTAGCCGGGGCCAAAACAACATTACTCCTAGTCTTCAGTCAAACATAAGCCTGCAGGCACCAAGCAGCCCTGAGTTCCTTGAGGAAGGTCACACTCTGCATTTTTCAAGTATCCCTCCGTGGGCTGCAAGCTGTAGGGAGATTTAATTTAACCTGCATTTCTTGTGCTTTTGTTTCCCACATCAGTACCTCCACCATCACCAGACGACCTCAGCTGGGCTGTCGTCTCCATGCTGTGGTGTTTCTGGCCTGTGGTTCACTGTTGCCTTCTGCCTGGCCTGGAAGGTCAGTTTTCCAGGGATCCAAGGATGGGCCTGGGAGGCAGCTGGAAATAAGAGAAAAGTGCATTCAATACAAAAGAACACAGGGGTGCCTTGGCTCAGTTGGTTAAGCGTCTGCCTTTTGTTCAGGTCATGACCCCAGGGTTCTGGGGTCGGCTCCCTACTGAGCAGGAAGAGTGCTTCTCCCTCTCCATCTGCCAAGTGTTCTCTCTCTTAAA